CCCAGGGCCAGGGAGGAGCCCAGGGCAGCACATGCAGCTCTGGCACTGCCCCAGGGGCTGGGGGACACCAGTCCAGGGGATCTGCTCAGGACCAGCCCCAGCAGGGCACTGGGGAGGGCTGAGCATGAGGGACAGGGCTCTGAGACACCTGAGGGGAACCATCAGCTCCACATGTCCTAAAATCCTACCTCGCTTGATTTCCATCCTCCCTGCCTTGGTTACAGGGAATTCAGGGCCTCTTTCCCCCCTTCAATCCCTGCCTGCAGTCCAGGGGTTGTGTGTGGTTGTTTCCTGCCCTGTGCTGAGTCCCACCTCCCCTCCACCTTCTGGAGCAGCTCCAGCCCCTCTGAGCTCACAGCCTGGGCTCTCACCTTTCTGCTCATCTCTCGGCCACCTCTCCAAACACTGTCCTTCCCCTCCAGCACTGCTGCCCTCTCCCTGGGCACGGCAGGAGCCTCTTTCCCCTGGGAATCTCCCAGGGAATGCTGTCCCTTCCAAACACCCCCTGAGCATGCAGCTCCTCAGCCAGCACAGACAAACACCAAGTGCAGGTGCTCCTGTGTCCATCGGGACAGCAGGTTGGTCCTGTGTCCTTCTGCCAGCCCAGCCCCATCACCAAAAGCACAGAGAGATTCCAGCAGAGCCCAGGGAGCTTCTCCCCCCTTTCCCAGCTTACCTGGAGTGATGTCTCTTCTCTCAGAGCAGCAGTGCCCAGCCCTGCTGAGCCCTGAGGATCACCCTATTTATGTGACTATTTATGACACCTCAGCCCCCAAGGGCCGCCCACCAGGGCATGACCCTCTGGCCATGTCCCCATCCCAGGGAAGGATGAGTGGCTGCATGAGCCAGCCTCTGCCTCGCTCTTCCCCATTTCAGAATTTACCCTGCAGGGCTCACCAAAACAGGCACACCCTCAGATTTTAAGGCTTCTACCACATCTGCACTAATTGCCTCAACCACTGCCTGAGTATTGAACGTTGTTGCTCCTGTTGGGATAATGCTTTCCTCTCTAACACTTCAATAAAAGTTTCAGAATAAACAATCCCTTGCGTTAACTGGCTCCTACCTCCCACCCTTTGCTCCTCACAGGTGTCTCAGCTTTTCCTCAGGTGCTGAGTGCATCCCCACCATGTGTGTCTCATGCCTTGGTGATGAGATTGAGAGAGGAAGGTTATTTCTGGGTATCTTCATTATTATAAATCACCAGATATCAGCATTTCCTATCTGCCATGGCTGGCAGTTAACGTGCAACAGGGAAACTCCAATTCCCACAGAGGTGGTGAGGAACAGGATCAGGAGAACATCAATGATCTCTGTGTCTGACAAAAGAAGTCAGGGAAACAACAGCACCAAAAAATGGCAAAAATGGGGCAGTTTTGTTGGCAGGAGGAGGAGTTGCAGTTTTGTTGGCAGAGGAGTTGCAGGTGGCACAAGCAAAGAGAGGAATGGCTCATGGGCTGTGCAGGCAGAACCTTCTCAAAGAGTTTTGGGAACCCTCCAAGAGCCCCATGGGAAAAGATGAACGGGTGAGGCTGAGTTACAGCAGGCAATTCCATTCCTATTGCAAAAATAAACTGAGGAGCAGGTTATCAGACAGTCCCTGTGAAAGGAAAATCAGAGTTGGCACCAGGAGAGGAATTCCCATTTTAGTCACAGAACCTCAGAATAGTCTGAGGGGGAAGGGACCCAGCAGGATCATGGAGCCCCACACTGAATTGAGTGGCCCATGCAGGGATGGGGGAGAGGAGAATCCCTGACCTTGGCACTCCTTTGCACTGGGCTCAAGCACCTGAGTTGATTTTAGGCTATTTGATCCTTAAATAAGACAAATCAGTCTCTAAAATGAAGTCAGACATTTATACAGGCATGCAGGATAAGCAGAATCCAAGTTTTCCTTCCTCTCTTTTTCTCACTTCGAAAGAGGGGAACCCATTTTTCACTCTGCTGGAAGAAAACGTTTTGCAACCTCATCCTGTGCCTTTCCTACGTCACAGCAGAGTGAGGCTCTCAGCACACACATGATCTGCTCCATCACCCACAGAAAACCCCACGCCAGGAAGTGTGAAGCATCCAGCTGACACTCCTCCCTGCACTGCTGATCTTTTCCTTATAAGAATAATCCTCACGGAAGGGTAATTTTAGCCCTGCATGTGAGGAGCTGGGTGCTTGCCTTTCTCACACCAGAGTGCAACTGGGAAAGTGTCAGCACAGCGATGAGCTTGCTGCCAAGTCACCCAGTCCTGGTGCAGCCTGGTCCCACCTAACAATTCCAGCTTGGCCAGGGGCTCCTGCTGGTTCCTCAGAGCTGAAGAGGAGCTTCCACCTCCCTGCTTCCTGCCCTTTGCCTCCCCAGGCTCCTCTGGGGCTGGGGAATCTGCACAGCAGGCTGGGTGTCAAGAGTGGTTTGGCTTCAAGGAGAACCAAAGAGACTGAGGTGAGTCTGACCTGGTGAGAAGGAAACCTCCTGTGCCAAAGCTGCCTCCACCTTGCTCCTGGATGGAAGATGTTCAGCACCCCTCTGGCTGCCCCACTCCCCTCCTTAGCACCTGCAAACCTGTTTGTGCCACTACTCAGCCTTAGACAAAGCCCTGCAGGGTGTTTGTGGCTAAAACTGACTGAGGAAACACCAACACAATGCTGGACAATATTCCTTTTAGGGCTCACAAATGTCACCCAAATTTACAGTTCAGATAAACCAACCCCATGAAAAGTTGGAAGTTTATAGAAAGGAAAAATAGGTAAATGAAACCCAAGAGGTGTTTTGAGTTTGAGGTATCCCTGCAGTTCCTTGATCTGCAGACTGATGTAAAAAGATTCCTGACTCAATTGGAACTGGAAATATTCTCCTAGGCTGTGTGAAGAGTTCAGGGTTTTCCAGCTACAAGACCATGGCCACGGCACCTACAGTCAGGAACATGAGGATGACCCAAAACTGATTTCTTAATTTCTGTTTCTCCACTGTCCCTGCCAAGTCCTGGTCCAGAAGGGCCCCTGCTCCCCAGCATTTCATGCCAGGCCACAACAGAAATGTCCAAGGAGCCCAAACTCACCCGCACAAATCAGAGGCTCTGCCTTGGCTCTACCTGTACCAGAAGTTCAGAATAGAAAACTTCATTTCCTCTGCTCTTCCATTGGGAAAGATGGAAAATCCTAGCCCTGCCTCTTTTTATTATTTTACATACAGGTATTTTTCCTGTCAAGGTCCTGTAAGTTTGTCTCACTTCAAGATTTTCTATCCTCTACAACAGCCTGAAGCTTTCTTGATACTGCTGTCATCAAGAGCTCATTATCCTTCTAGCCCAGTATCCTTAAGGAAAAACTCAGGAACTCCACAAATAAGACAGGGACAGGCTTCCATTAGAACTAAACCAACAAATAAACCCCAACCCCAAAAAACCAAGAGCTGAAAAAAGCTACTGAAAACTGTTTTATTTCCAGGATCAAATATTACAATAGGACATTTACATATATTTATAAAAAATGCAGCAGTTGTGTATATAGATCAGAGGTTTCCTTGAGTTTGGTCCCTCCCAGCACAGTGAGCTGAAAACTTCCAAATTAATCCTCTCCCTCCTCCCATGTGAAGTTGCCATCATTGAATAAACTGACCATTGTGAAAAGCTGTCCCTTAGAAACTGCATGTTCCCCAGTTCCAGGAAACAGCCTCATTTTTAAAAAACCATCTGTCCTAGAGTCTGGTGTCTCTGAGCTGAGTTTTACCCAGATGTAAAATAGCACCTCATCCCCTGCTCCACACAGTTTCAGTTCCACACCTGCAATGTGGGCACCATTTCTCAAGAGTTACAAAGTGACTTTTCTCTGCACTGCAGACACTCCCAGTGATCTGTCAGTGACCAAATCCCCAATTTCTGCCCTCCCTCCCAGGGTGCCCATGGAACACAGGGGATAACCAGAGGCAGGTGGAGGCGCTGCTGGCAGGTGCAGCAGTCTCTGGGTGTAAATAGATAAATATGGCTCTGTTTGTTGGGACTGCACAGACACCAAGCATCCCAAGGACAAGAGGAGACAGGAAAAAAAGCACAGAAAGGGAATCCATTAACCTGACCAGCTCCAAACCTACACAGGCCTGTGGGTGCTTCCAACAACGCAGCCAGCACAGGGCTCAGCATCAGTTTGTGCTGTCTTTGAAACAGGAGCTGTTCCACTTACAGAAAATCACTTGTGAAAATAAATAAATAGAAAGGGTGAGGGAGAGCAGAGGCTGGATTTGAGCCTGTGGGAACAGCCAGACGAGGCACAGCCAGTCCTTAAGGACAGAGACTTTGTCCTTCAGCCACCTAAAGCACATCTCTGCCACCCCTTCTCCTCTTGGAACACCTGTTTTATCAACTTCACTAAACAGGGATTAAACCAGAAGAAAATAGTGACATCTAGTACAAACTAAAAAGGAATAAAAATGAAGTGATGAGGCCCTGAAATTATACAGATCTTCCCACTCACATGGACATTCCTACACAGGTCCCTATGTTCATATTTCATTTTTATGTGGTTTACCAAAAAACCACCATGTTTCAAGCATCTCTGCAGTGTTTACAACCTGACAAACAGCCCAAAACACTGCCCTGCCCCCAAAAGAAAACTGGTTTTAATTTAGCCCTTGTTGCTCGAGTCCCAGTTGCTCTGACAGGAACAGGAATTTGAGACCCTTCAGCAGAGAGGTTGAGTTACTAAAACCTGCACCAAACCCAGTTTTTCTGCAAAGGTACAACCACAGCAGCAGTGCCAGGGCAGGCTGAGTGTACAAATCAGCTCTGAAGGACATGGACCCTGTGAAACACAAGCTGGACAAAGGAGAGGTGTCACTTCCCCTAGCAGTGAGGAGAATGTCAGGGAGCTCTGGGAAGAGCTGATGGAAAATTCCTGTTTAGATCTACTCAGGAATAGTGGTACATCTGGATGCTTTTTACAGACAACTGTATTTTACAAAGCCACCTGCAGATCCTGGACATTCCTCTAAGATCAGTGGTGTTAAATGAAGTGGTTTACCAGGAAAAGCAATGCACTGCAGTCCATCAATGTCAGAAATCATAAAAGTCACAGACTTTTGTTCAAATCCTAAAGAAAATTACAAAAGCATGGCCAGAAGTGTTTGGCCCAGCCTCTACCTGCCCTTTTCAGGTCAGTGGAGAATGCTGTGATGTTGAGGCTGGTCAATCAGCTTGACTTAAGAGCACATAGCATCAGAAAAATCCAAAATCTTTCTGTGGGCCTCTGAAATGGGAAGTAAATGTGTAAGCTGCACCTGGCAGGGAAAGCCAGAGCTTGTTCCCCCTTCTGTTCCAGGATCCTGGTTGTCACCAAATGGGATTTGTTTTACATCACAAAAGAAAGCTGTGTTAGATGAAGAGCACAGGCAAAGGAACATCACCAGCAGCAAGGAGCTCCAGCTTCAAACAAAACAGCCCTGACAGCTCTCCCTCCACTCAGGAAAACCTGCACTGCCCACATGCACTGCTGCTGCTCTTGCAGCAAATCCTGACCCAGTGACACCCACAAACCACAGCTTTTGAAGGATTGGCTTCCTCTGTCCTTCACAGCTCAACATTGTATTTCCCAACCAATTTTAACACATTTTTTCCAGCAAAGGCAATCTGAGCTTCAGATTTCACATCTAGAAATGACTCTTTAAACATTGCCCAACCCATCACCTTCACTGCCATGAGCTGTCCTGTCCCAGGCAGGACTTGATTCGTGTTTTCAACCACATTCCTCCCAAGGGATGAAGAGATGAAGAAGTTGTGTCCTGGTTGGGGCAGTTTCTCATCAGCTTTCAGCCCCCACAGCACAGCTGATGTGTGGCACTGGGTTTGTTTGGGTTGGGAAGGAGAGAGAGAGAGGAATGAACAAAGAGAAGAGCCACATGCAGGGATATGTATTCCTTAAAAATTTTTTTCTCTGTTTCTTGCTCTCAAAGCAAAGCAAAAGAAAGGTGATAGGAAAAAACCACACTGTGAAACAGACAGAAAAACTCCAACCCAGTTTCCTGGAACAGAACAAACTCCTAGAAACCACGAGAAAATGCCATTTTCAGTGTAAATGTTCAACTTCCCAATCTTCTTTTCCCTGTTTGAGCAACTCCTGGTCTCATCACAGAGTTCAGCCCAGCCCCACACACAGGAGCAGGCACAGGAGGGGCAGGGGAGGGAAGGTGCCAATAAATCACACCTAGTTCTTGTTATTCTAACCAGACAGCTGGAGCTGCTTTGGAAGCTTTAGGATTACATGGAAATGTGAGTTTGGGGCTGGATATGCAGGAACTAAAGGATCCTTCAGTCCAGAGGTGCCACTGCTGCTTCACAGGCCAAACACAAAACTCCTCCTCACTTCCCCATGCTGGGAGCAGCCTCCACACCCGGGGGTCTTTACAAACCAAAGATGACATCTGGTGTCACACCAAACACTGATCAGGAAACTGAGATGAAAATCGGCTTTCCTGACACTACATCCTGCAGCAGAAAGGGAAATCAACTTCTACAATTGCATGATTACATGTCAAAGCTCAATTAGGAGCAGGAGACAGCTGTGAGTTGAAGTTTTCATGGGAAATGCCAGACATTTTCTGTGATTTCTTGCATTTAAAGGTTCCAAAGTACAGATGCTAGTATGAAATCAAAGGCAAAATATCTTGAAAAACTGGAAAATGTAAATTTCTGACTACTAAAGTCTTTAACAAAGACAATCATCTGAGAGAGGCAGAAAAAGGCAGCAGTAATGCCAGGTCCCATGTGCCTTCTCCTCAGTGACTGAAGACCAAGTTAAACTGAGTTTTTAGCTGTAAATACACAAATCCACCACACTGTGCTGAGGGCTGTGCCACTTAACTCCTGTCCCATCTGCTGAAACACCAACTGGCCAAAATCTCCATCAGAAAAATCCAAATTCTGCAGGATGACATTCTGGTGGAGACACTGGAGGAGAACCAGGGCACTGACTTGTGTGCCAGCCTCCAGAGCTGAAAGGAAAGCCTGCACCAAGGAGCAGCTTTCCATGCAGCCCTCCAAATTTAGAGGTAAGTGACAGTAGATGAACACGGAAATAGAACAAAAATCATCCCAGGGAATTCAAGCCACCATGCTGGGAAGTGTTTTATGAAGCATTAATTGATGCTCAGTGCTGTCAGTACTGTAAAACCCCTGTAAAGCCACTCACTCCTAGATAAAAAGGAGAAAAGCCAACTGACTGTCAGGTCTCTGTGGCAGGTGTTTTCAGGATTCCAAAACCTTTACAGTACCCTTGTTATTTGCAAAATCCTGAGAGCAAGTAAGGAGACACTTTGAGGATGCAGGGAAGGGAACATGGATAACCCACCCACCCCACAAAGGAGCTGGTTCTGCTCCAGCACTGGACTCACAGCTTTCCCTCTGGGCCAAGCAGGCAATCCCATATGGAGCACAGTTGGATTTCTGGGGGATTGGTTGTTTTTTTACTATGTCCCCTGGTAATTTAAAGCAGGAGGAAAACATGCAGGCAATCTAGAAGTCTTTGAATTAGGTGGAGCAGAGCATTTTAGCACGGCTCAACCCAACTCCTTTCGAAAACCAGAGAAGGCTGGAAGGTTAAGGGAGACCTTTTGTGTAGGGAATCCAAACAAAGGAAAGACTGCCCTGAAGGTTACGCCCTCTCCTTACAGAGAGATGCCTCCATGCCTCATCACACACTCTTTTCAAAAATAAATTAAACAAAACAGATTTAAGAATAGCAGCGAGAAGGGTTTGTGTATTATGGCCACTCCAAGCTCCAGCATGCTGGATACACAGATCACTGTTTTACTTTATTCCAGGAAAGCAGAGGAAAGATGTTCTTCCCAATGCTCTCTGCAGCTGAGGAATAAAACTCTGAGCACTCTCATTTGGTCACTAGAGAGGGAGAAGGGAGGGAGAGAGAGGAGGAGGGAGAAGGAAGGGCCAGTCAGCTGCCTGATTCCAGCACTGCAATCCCACGACCCTTAACTGCATATTTAACCACTCTTATCCCAGGCAAAGAGGAGAGGGAGGAAGGCTGGGAGAACTCAGGCCACAGTGCTAATTCCTTTCCTGCACAAAGACAGTCTCTTGAGGACACAGGCCTGCCTCCTGTAACGTGATCTCATAGTCCAGGTGGGAGAGTTTCCTCCTGGGGAAGTTGGTGAGCAGTTCAAAGCGCTCGTTGGGGTATCCTTTGGACTGGACGTGCTTCACAAGAGCCTGGGGAGAAAGGAAAGCAAACCATTGTCACAGAAGTCAGAATGGGAAAAAAATCCTGTTTTCCTTTTAAAAGTGTCACCATTGCTTTTTTTTTTGGCTTGAGGGGAAGAAAGGACATCATGGTAATACTGGAAGCATAAACACCTCATGGGAATAATGTATGTAAAGCAGCCAGTGCTTCATCAATATCAACACAATTATTAAAAATAAAACATTTTTTTATGTTTTATATCAACAGTTAAAACTGATCAGTATCATCAGTTAAAACTCCTGAAGTGCAACTGTCTCCTTAAGCAATTTCTTTTGCTAGTTCTGGCCAGCTTTAAAATGGAAGCAACTAAAGGCTGAAAAAAAAAATCAGCATGGAAATGATGTTCACAAAGAAACACCTGAGACTCAATCTGGATCTGACTGAAAGGCTCCAGAAGATCACATGAGATGAGCACAAATGCTGCTTGCTCAGCTCTGCAACCAAAAGATGTCTTTACCCACAAACCTTGACTCAGCTAAATTCCTCTGCTGACTCTAGTGCAGAAGGGAAATCATATGCTGAGATAAATTTCCTTTAACTTCCACAGTCAAAACCAAAAGTCAGGGTTTATTTCAATTTAACATTTCTGTACTGCCTAAATGAATTGCTTAAGTATTCACAAGTGCTACATGTCTAATAATATGTGCAAATTTACTTAACAAGCTGCATTCAAAAGGCAGTCAAGCTTTTTTTCCCTTTTATTTTCAAGCAGGAGAGTCAGGGATGAGAACATGGGCTGAGGACACTGTGCATTCCTAGAGCTGCTGGCTATGCAATAGCCCCATTTTTTTAAGGGACAGGACACTTCCAAACCTACAAAAAATCCTTCTGATGAGGCTTGCTTTTGCCTTCCTATGACTCCAGCTGTTAGACTGACTACATTTAAATTTAAATGAGCTGAACTGGCCACTGTGTCCTGAAAACTCATGGCAAACAGGAGCACAGTAACCTCTTTACACTCTGCTCCCTGGAATATTCTGATGGAAATGCCATTCACATGGACTTCTCCAAGGTAAGGAGCCCAAAGCACAGCTGAGACACATGTGAGGCACAATAATTGACCAAAATTCTACCTCCCATGCAAAACCACCAACATTGTGTAATACATCTGTTTTGGGAGAACTTCCTCCAAAGTCTGCTCCAACATCCGTGCCCAGAAGGGAGGGTGGAAGTATGATGGGAGGGATGGAGAATGAGGAGTTCCACTTTTAGAAACAAAGCCCCAGAAATGAGAAAGCTGAGAGCATTTTATGGCAATTAACAATTAATGCAAAAGCCATTTAGAGTCATTTTACAATGGAAATGAGCAGTGTGGGGATTGAGGAAGACACTGGAGTGCACATAAAACCCAAGCTGCAGTGGAGACACACAGAGCCAGTGGTTACCAGAGAGGAATGACGTGGATCACAGGGCAGGCACTCCCTGGATACACCTCTCCCAGCAGATCTGATTCCAACAGTGTCTCCCCAGGCACAGAAATTCTCCAGGTTCATCTTTCCTCTACTCATAAAGGATTCCCATTAAGGCCACTCACCAGTAGTTTAGCTTGTTCAGGCAGTGAAACTTGTTCCCTCTTTCCATCTGGATACCTCAGCATCAGCTGTGCCTTTGGTCCTGCACAAAGGAATTTATCACAAGTTAACACCAGGGCAGCTGAGCTGAGCTCCTGGGTAGATTTTAGGTGGGACAGCACAGCAGGGTGAGGGACTGGAGACAAACACAAGGTTCCAGGCTGTGGAGATAAATTTTTATCACAAGACTCTTCCAAAGCAGCAGTGACTGACCCCAGGCAGTGCCCAGAGCACCTGTGTTACACCAGAGTGGACTTTACTCCTGGGCAGGACCTGAGTCAGGGAACCCAGAGTGCTCTGCAAGCTGGGGCACTGCTGTGCTGCTCTTGGATCACTCACACATCTGCTGGCAAGGAGGGAGGAAATCACAAGGGATTTTTAAAAGAAGGGATGAAACCAGGCTTGGCAGCCTATGAAGAGTTTCAGGCAAAAAAGGCCCAACAAAAGCAATAAAAAGGGGCACTTACCATTCACGTCCAGGCCCCGGAAGGTGCTTTCAGGCTTGTCAGGCGACTCCTCCAGAGCCCCTGCATCGATGCAGGGCAGGACTCTGTGGTTTGATGTTGTCCCAGGCTCAGTCCTTGCAGAGGGCTCAGGCTGAGGCCTCCGGCTCTCCTCTTTTTTACACCCCAAGTCCTTGTGTGGAGACTTCCTCAGCTTGGCTGGAATCTCTGTCTCCTCCTCCTCCTCAGAGCCACAAACAGAAATAAACTCTTCGCTTCCAGAAAAAAGCTCTGACTCCGACTCCTCATCTGACCTGCTCTCCTGCTTGGCCTGGGAGGAATCAAAATGTGTCTCCTGCAGGGAGGCTCTGATGGCAGCTTCCAGCTGGCTGTCCTCACTGGCATCGATGAGACTCTCCTGTGGGATGCACACAACATGTCACCATCATATTTTCTGAAAATATGACAGTGACATTTCTCTTTGCCCAGGATTCTTCTCCTGGGAAGCTGAGAAGCCTCAGAGAGAAATGAAAACAAAATTTATCTGATTGCTTCTCCTGTATTTTGCTGCTTTGGAATGTGGTCTGGAGATTGTTTACCAGCTGGTCATTGTTTGATTGGTTCCATGTGAATTGTTTTAACTTAATGACCAATCATGTCCAGCTGTGTTGGACTCTGGAGAAGAATCACGAGTTTTCATTATCATCCTTGTTAAGCCTTGTGTCTGCATCCTTTCTCTATTCTTTAGTATAGTTTTCGTATAGCGTAATGTAATATAAAGTAATGTAATATAAATCTATGAATAATGTAATGTAATGTAATGTAATATAATATAATATAATATAATATAATGTAATGTAATATATCATAATAAATTAGCCTTCTAAGAACATGGAGTCAGATTCTCAATTCCTCCTTCATCCCGGGGACCCTGCAAATTCAACAACGACACACACTGCCTGCAAACAGGCACTGAAAACCAAAAGGACATCAGTCTTCCAGAAGGGAAGGCACTTAGCCTGTCAGGATTACATGCTGTAATTACTCAGTGGCTTCTCCTTGGAGTTCTGCATGGAGTAATCAATATTCCTTTCACACTCTGACTGCTAAATCCAAACCAAGTGCCAAAAGCACAAGCAGTGACCCCGGGAGAAGGCATTCCTGGCACGCTGAGTTTCTGCATGCCCCTGCACGAACTCCTTGAGTGTGTCTGGGAAATGAGGAGAGCTGGACAAGCCCAGGTCAGAGTGCTGCTCCAGGCTGTCTCCAGGGAGCCCCACACTTACAGAGCGGGAGCATTTCTGGGGAGGGCTGCTGGAGTGGCCGTCCAGCTGGCCGTGCTCGCTCAGGAACCCGGTCACTTGGTCCAGGAAAGAAGTCACATCCAACTGGTGCCACTCCACGAGCTTCTGGCCTAGGGAACAAAAGGTGCCATCAAACAAAATTTCAGCGAAACGCTGCAGTTTAGTGGTTAAATGTGAAGAATGTGTATTTTATGATTGGCTTTTTGCAAATATTAAAATGAATACTATATGTGTTATGTTAGAAAGTTATGCTGTATTAATTTTCTTAAGTAGTGTGTTAAATATAGTTTTAGGTTATAACATAATGTTAAAATAGAAACTATGCTATGTAAGATATATTTTTTTAAAAGAGAGGAATGAGGTACTCCCACTGAGATACCAGCCACAGGACACCTGAATCTTTCAAAGAAAGAGAATTTATTGCCCCATTATCAGAAGAAACAAACTTCTTCCTGCCTTGCTCAGCCCTGAAGACACTGTCAGGATTAAGAGGAAGAAGCTGACACTGACCAGACAGAATCCTGTGTTTGAATGGAGTTTATGCATCATGTATGAGGTGTATGAATATGCAACAGGTTATTGCTTTAAGGGTTAATCCTCTGTTAACGTGGGTCCTTTTTCAGGCTTATTTTGCCCAGAAAAGGTACCTTGACTGTCTGTAACTCTTTGTTTCTATTGTTTTGTATTGCCCTAATCCAAATTGTCCAAATTTTAATACTCTAAGTATATTCCTATTTTTATAACCATTTTATTACTATTAAACTTTTAAAAATTTAAAAACAAGTGATTGGCATTTTTCACATCAAACACACCAACTCACTGCTGCAAGAGTCCTTATTTGAGGAACTGCAGCTTCCCACAGGCTACCACCTGCTAATTATGGAGCTTCCTCCTTCCACCCACTGAAAAGGGACAAACATGGATACAGACACAGTTTATTTCCATTCTTTTCTTTTAACCTATGGGAATGTGAGCACAGAATGGTGAATTTGGCCTCAAAAAGCAAATCATTAAGTTTATGAAGAAGCATTTCTCCATTTTTGCCAAATTAATTCTAACCCTTGGCAAAGAGCATTTGTTCCCAGAAGGAAAGTGCTAAGAAGAGAATTCTAACTTCAGCTGCAATATTAAAAAATGTATGTATTTTTACATTTGGGTGGTTTAAGTCAGCTACACAGAGGTCTCATCTCTATCATTTCAGTCCTTAGAAACAAAAGACCAGACCAACATTATATAATCAGGCAGCTGCATTATATGATGATAAAAGAAGCTGCTGGATACAGAAGAAAAAGCAAAAACTTTGAAAGAGCTGCAGGGAGAGGGAGAAATTTGATTGTTCAGGTAAAAAACAAGCAAAACAAAGCAAAAACTTGAAGCCAAGATGGTATTTCAAAATTAAGAAGCAATTTAAAGTCATTGCTGAGCCTCACAAAGCTCTGTGGGAGGAGCAGAAAGCAGATTCATGCAGCAATTACAAATATTGTAGTTATTCATCACATGACTTCAAGAAGCTTTTGAAAGACTTCAAAAAAAAGAATTCAGAGTTTTTCCACCAGATGGAACTATTTTCACTTTCTAAGCAAAATACTCGCCAAGCTTCAAATAGACAAAATTTCTGCAAGTTTTGGGTGCTTAGTTCCCTTAGTTCCTCTGGGAACATGCTGAGTCAGTCCTTGAGATTCTTCAGCCAAGTGTAACACAAACTGCAGTGGAAGGTATTCCAGCTTACAACTGTCAGTGGATAACTCCATTTCCAGTGAATAACTCATGGGATAACTCCAGGCAAAGCAGCTGCCACTTGTCTTACCTGTCCTGGGATCCAGGATGGAGACATAAGGGAAGTCTGCTAATTTATAAAACTGTATGTACCGCTGTCCTTCCTCACTGTCGTGGTACACCTACAAAATTGGGCACATTAGTGGCTGAAAACGGAACAAAACAAACTCTACCTTGAAAATGCACAGAGTTTTTCTCTCTTCTGCAGTACAAACTGCAAATGGTACACATAGTTGTAACTCTGAAAAGCTGGAATTAAGCCTCTAGAAACTACATGGTATTATCTTGTTTGCACAAATGAAAGGCAGTTTATGCCTTCAAATGCATATCCATGAATTCTATCTCCAACCATAAAATACATACACTCCATGAAGCACACCTTTTCTGCAGGTTCACCAGGAGAATTCCATCTTTTCCAAATAATTCAATTTTTCTCCCACTGTCCCATCAAGCAAAGCCACACATCCATTCCCAGGCAATTTCTCACCTGCCAAAAAATGAAGTGGTCCCTGATGATGTTCTTCACAGCCTCGTTGCTCCACACATCACGGTTGAGGCACTGGCAGGCAAAATCTTGCACGTTCTGAATGTTTATCATGAGCCACTTGTTCTGCATCTGACCACACTCCTTGGCCTGGAAGCAGAAGGAAAAGCTTGGTTAGATCAGGCTGAAGGACCAGACAGCACCGATGCCAGCAATGATCAGAGATGGCTTCTACCACTGCCAGACCTTCCACCAAACCCCTTCACAGTGAGGAGGATGGACAGAGCTAGTGAAAAGGCACCCACAAAACAGAAGGCAGGGCTGAAGGATCTGCTTTAAATGAGCCTGGTTGAATTACAGAATCACATCGATGAACAGAGCTGCTGCATTTCAACAAGCCAAGCACAGGGAGGGAAAAGCAACTCAGAGGGGGGACACACATGGCACTGCTGAATAAAGTATTTATTCAGGGAAAAGTGTAGTCAGTCCCACTGATCTGACAACAAAGACCTGCTCAGTCTAAAGATAAACCCATGGACCATCTAGTTAAGTAGGCTGCATAATTGACAGAGGACTTGCATTGATTCAACAGCACCCCTTCTCTGCGTGTTTTCTTTTTCTCTCCAAGTTTTGAGTTACTCTGTGACTGTCCAACTGCCCAATTAGGCATCCTTTTTTGATGCTGCTTATCCAGACTGCAAGTGGGGAGGGAGACAGGAAGGCGCAGGAAGAAATCTTACTGGTTTGAGTCACAAAGCTGGCACTGTCTGATTGCTTGGTTGCAAGTTAATGGTAGGAGTTTGATCAAGAATGTAATTCTGATCGCTGAACTGTCATACCTGTTGAAAAAAAGAGGGCTAGATCAACAGCAGGAATGCTCTTACCACCTGGAAAGACTGGAGCTGGCATAGGAACTCTCTTTGCTTTAAAAAAAAATTAATTTAGAAGTTATGCTCACCATCCTGCTGGTAATCAAAGGAATTCAAAGGATAAAAAAAAATCAGGGGAATCAGGATGTTATGGAAGATTTTGCTGTTTGGGCATTACTTTGTTCCCCAAACCAAAGTTTTTACTTTTGAAATGAATTTTAGTCTGTGCAGTTTGGAACAGTCTGCCTGTCCATTGTGTCACAGACAGACACGTGAACCCCACACACTCAGCATCACCAAGGCAAGAATCTCAACCTACAATGTGGCCAAGTGCCCTGCAGAGGCAGCTTTTGTATTACTCATAGGAAAAAAATGAAGGTAGAAGCATGGAATAGTCCTATTCCCACAAGGGGCCTCACACTAACTACTTACCACTAAATTTACACTGCCAGCATCCAGGTCACCAGGTGAGAAAAGTGGGGAAGGTGACACCTAAGGAACTGGCAAGGGTCTTAAATATAATTGTCATGCTTTTATTTAAAGGACTTGCTTTGAGCTAACTGCATTTTGAGAATTAGTTCTAAAAACCAGTATGAGATGAGGCCTGAAGGCACTGCCCAAGTTGAAAGGGAACAGAAATCCTTGTGTTATTTAAGTCAATTGGATTGCCTTAGCCCTGAGTTCTCAGGTAATCTGTTAAAAGAACACTCCCAAAAATACATAATTAGAAAGCTGGAAAGTGCATCTCATTCTTCTACCCTCACTCTCTATATCTTTTAATATTAATGAAAACCTCTGGCTCTACCATTCCTCTGTCCAGCTGAGGGCATTGGAAGGATGCAAGCAGGAAATTCCACAAAGAAAATCTACAAAACTGAGTTTTCACCTGCAGAACAGTCAGAGCTTTTGAAACTACTTTTAACTTCTTTCTAAAAGCAAGCTTTGGATTTAACACTTAAAAGGACACAGTTAAACTGCTGCTATCTCATACACAGAGTTCTTATACAGTTCAAGGGGTTCTTCTGAGGGGATGGAAGGACAACAGTGTGAGGAGGAGAAACACTCTGGATTTGGAGATTATATTATATTATATTAGGGTCATTTTGGTAAGTGACAAGGCAGCAAGGGAAGGTTCAAGAGCTGGCTTGTGTATCCCAAAAGCTGGGATCTGATGGATTTAGATCCTCTGTTTCCAATATCAACTTTCCCTCCTCCTTTGAGGTATAAAGGCCAGTGGCAGGCACTCACAGAGCCCACAGACAGGGCAGTACAGGACAGCCACTCTTTGCGAGCAGAGCCAGTGGAGCACAGATGCAAAAACCAACCCAAACCAATCCAATCTGCCCTAAGTGTGCCTTTATCCTTTCTGCCCAGTCACATAATTCATCACTACACCAGCAACCTGGTGAGACAAGTCTTGCTTTACGCTCAGTGGTGGATCTCCCTGTGTAACTCTGGCTCCGGCACTACTAAAAATAACTTCCTCCCATTTGACTTCTCTGAACATGTATGGTTTAGAAATGTTGGGGTGGTTCCTGCTGGCTCAGTTTTGTTGAAATGCAATCCTTTCAAGGCAGCAGAGAGAAGGAGGAAGTGGAGCCAGCACCTTGTGATTCTCTGGACATTTCTGTGACTCAGTGGGGAAGATAACAGTTGACAGAGAGTCAGAGCAGGACATAATCAAACAAGAAATCTCCTATTTGGGCCACACTGCTCCTTCCTACCTGGGGCAGGGCACCCAGGCACTCCTGAGCCACAGCTGTACCTGCAGCTGTGCTGCCCCAAACCAGGCCAGAACCACCTTATGCACAGGTAATTGCTCCATTTAAATACAGTGACCAGCTCAGCTTCCAAATGATTGCTGCTTTTTAAGTAGAAACAAAAAACCCCTCAGAGTCTCAGCTGTAAAGCAGGGAGCAGCTAAAAAAGGTTATTGTTAAATGGGAAAAAGAAATCATATAGACAGACTTGAAACTCTGCAATTGAGTGACATTCAGTCACTTCATTGAAACCCTGCTGAGTGTTAAGCACAGAATTGCACACACCAGCACCATCCTTGCCCACAAGAAGTGCAGGCTAAGTCACTTTGGTGTGTCCCCCTCAAATTCAATCCTCTCTTACATCACAGGCATGTAGAGAGAACACCTGCCATTCTTGAGAGCAGCCTGAGATGAGAACAAAACCACACTCTTCTCAGACATGTCAGGTGTGCAATTTATTTATTTTACTTGAAGGATTTATTCCTAACAGATTTCACATTAATGGGAGAACTCTAGTCAGTCACACACTGAACTTTACAAGTACAGTGATCATAAGCTGTTCTCCATGTGGAGCACAATGTTTTTTTCATATATAGCAAGTAAAAAAACCCAAAAACTGTCATTCAACACTCAAAAATTTCTCTGCCATGGAGTTAACCCCACCTATTCCTAAAGCTGGTATTACTAAGTTTAAATGAAACAGCAACTTCTTGGGCCTTACTGGTAACAAAGTTTCATTGTAACTCAAGAAAAGTGAGGTTTCTTGGGGAAAAATTAAGATAGTTACATGCACTTACTATCAAAAACAAACCTTAAAGTACCCAAACATCAGCAACAGTTGATAAGTGACAAAGATACATAAGACCAGATGTCACCACTCCTGCCAACAAAGCCCTAAATCCTAAATGGCTCTCTGATAAATGTGCATGGCTCAACCCTGGCAGAGTGTTCCTGCACACCCCTCCAGAGGCTGGAACTCACCACACACCAACCTTGGAAAGAAAACCCCACTTAGATCAAAGCTTAACTACAAGAGCATCACAATGACAGGATTTAGTCTTTGATAGTCTGGAATGTGATGTAATCTCTGGTTTATCATTTATATCCATTTATCTCAGCATACAGAGAAGGGAGAAGCCAAGAGCAGCTTGCTAGAGATGAATTTTGGGAGACTGTGGTCACTGAGGCCTTACACTGTCCCAGGCTGAAGCAGTAGAGCAGTTTGCAGTCAGAAAAGGTAAAATGCAAAGGGAAATGGTCAACACAGTGAGAAGGTGTGAAGAGTTATATTGCAAGGAAGTTGAGGAGCATCAGTGTGAAATGAAGGGTATCCCAAGGGACAAGGAACTGTACAGGAACACAGCAGGGTGAGTGCCAACACCAGAAAGTGTGCAGGTCTTTAGAGTGCAGGTACTGCACAGAACAGGGCAATGTGAGTGTACACAAACCCCTTCCCCAACCCCAGCCCACCCCTTTTTTAAATCACCTTTCAGGACTGAGTAAGAATGCAGAGACTTTAGGACAAACAAATCCATCAATCATTTATTTCACTCTCTGACACCATTTCTGACTGTGACAGTCTTCACACATTTCCAGCAAGACCCAAGGAGAGACAAGCAGCCATCTCAAACTGCACAGCAGAGCTGAAAGGGTACCTGCTGACTGCTCCTGCAGCAGCACTGCCTGCTGCCATGTGAATTTCCCTCACTGGTGCCTTTAACCACACATTTGCTGGTGTCACCTGTCACTGTCATATTTTCTGAAAAATCTCTTTGCCCAGGGAAGCTGAGAAGTCTCAGAGAAAAGTGAAAACAATATAATCTCATTTGCTTCTCCTGTGTTTTGCTGCTTGAATGTGGTTTGGACATTGTTTACCAACAGGTTCTTGTTTCAAGTGAATTGTTTTTACTTATTGGCCAATCAGGGACCAAGCTGTGTCAGACTCTGAAGAGAAAGTCATGAGTTTTTCATTACTACATTTCAGCCTTCTGTCTGTATCCATTCTCTATTCTTTAATATAGTTTAGTATAGCATTCCTTAATATAAAAAAATATCATAAAATAATAAATTAGCCTTCTAAGAACATGGAGTCAGAGTCATAATTTCCTCCCTTCAATGGGGGTCTCTGAAAATGCCACAGTCACCAACAGCTCTGGACCCCAGGCCCAGCAAGCTCCATCAGCTGGAAGACCTGAAAAACATCTTTTAAGGCTGCTCCTCTGCTCCTACTGCACCAAATTCCTCCCCAGGCTGGACACTGCTGCTCTCTGCCAGCATCCTCTCACAGCTAGAATTCTGTTAAGGAGGTTGTGGAGGGCACCCTCAGAACACAGGAATTAGTGACAAGGCAACTGATCCCCAGTGATATGGGAAGCATAAAAAGAGAGATGAGGGTAATGGGATGAGAGCTGGAGACTCCATAAAGGCACACAGTGTTACACCAAAAGCTCTCCAGCAGTGCTCTAGTACTTGTGCACAGCAGTCAAGGCACACGTGAAAACAAGGTAAATAATATTTTTGTTCAGTCAGTCAGTTGTGCAGACTTGTGCAGTTGGTTCTCCAACATCTGTATTGCACCATTTAATCATTACTTTGCATTCCCATGCAGTAAAAATAAAGATAATTTCCATCATCAAGCTCATCTATTCAAAGGTGACCAGGAGAAAGTTTAGTAATAACTGGAATTTCTGAAAAATATCTGGAAATTACAGACTCAAAAATTAAAAATATATACCAATCTGCATGTTCTCTAATCATTACTTAAGTCATTGATCCATATCTTAACAATTTAGGGATAGATCCACACATGCCTACACAGTCAGGGAAGGTGACACCCGAGATTGTTTAAAGCTGACAGTGTGCTGTATCTCTGGGATACTTTCCCTAGCACCACCAGAAGTAATAGACAACCACTGTGATTTTATAGAACAACTCCACTGAGGATGAAGTTGTGGCTTGATAGCAAAGACACATGCAAATATCTCTACTCACTCAGGTATCAGAAGCCACTCAGCCATGTTAACTCCACCTGAGCTTCTCAGCAGGGCTGTGCTGCAAACCACACTGCCCTTTGCTGAGTCCTCCCTCACCTGTGCAAAGCAGTCTTAATCCAGCTTTTTCTGTGTCCTCCATGGACACAGTTCAAGGGATGCAATTTTCCCATTCTGACCAGCCTCCCTTGCTCACTGAAGCCTTTCACCACATGTGATTTGCCACACTGATATTGAAACATAAACCAACGTGGTCTGCATGGTGAGGACTTGGACTTGATGATCCTGATGGGTCCATTCCAGGTGACACCATCACCAGTGAACTCCTTCAACACATCACCAACATTCCCAAGGGCAGTCCATCAAACATTTATCACTGCCCAGTATTTTGCAACCTCTCACTGTCCAGCCATGGATCCATGGTGACCCCCAAGGGTGAGCCCTCACCGTTTCAAAGCTGCCTTTGTGCATCAGGTCAATGGGAGGCCTGAAGAGATCAGCCAGCGTTGTCAGCTTCTTGTCCACCGCTCCTCCATTGCGGAGCTCCTGCTCCTGCCGGACTGCACGGCCCCAGGAGGAAAGGGACAGAGTTAGACACACACACACTCACCAGGGGCATCCATAACTGCCTAAATGCCCAAACACACAGCTGAAATGCTCAAACACACAGCTGCTGGGGTGGAACTCCCTCCAGCTCCCAGGAGGTTTGGGGAGAACAGGGCTAGGGCAGCTAAGGAGTGCAAATCCCAGGATATCTCTTCCCAGGGTCAGTCCCACTGAACAAGATTAGCTGGTGTGGAAGGGCAGAACCGCCCTGTCTCAACTTAATAAACCTGAGGGGTCACATACCAATATTTGAAAACAAAGGAGCCAAAAAAAGCCATGACTTGTCCCCAGTGATGCTTTTAAATGGAAAACTGAGCTAGATTGTAGCAATGTAACTTTTAAAAGGAATATTTCTATTGTAGTGTGTCCATTAGTTGGCTGTGGGGCAATCCCATAGCAAAGAAACAAAGAAACAGATTTAGTTTAGGTAGAGAAATCTCTTTGGATGTTTCTTTTAAAGTAGTATCAATTTTCTTTTAAAGAGTATCCATTCCATCTGAAATAATACCAAACACATTTCCAACACAGACAGGACCATGGACAATAAAGGTAAATCACAGCAAACACATGATGTATTTTATAGAACCAGGTCAGCTGAAATGGGCAATAACTATCCCATGGCCACAACTTCTCCACTGTGGAAGAGGCTGTCAATGGGCCAAAGCATAAAACCCATGCTTGAGCAGACACACAAGGAATAAAGCATCCCTATGGAGCAGCCCCAGGAGCCAGGAGATAATCTGGAATTTCATGGCCAGGGCTGCTTTTCCAGAGACAGCCACACAGTGATGTCTACCTGTCAAGGTCTGCCAAAAAACATGATAAAGCTTCACCATAAACCCTTACAGTGTATCTCTCACAGGAATCACAGGGTGGTTTGGTTTGAAGACCCTAAAGATCAGCCATGGGCTGGAACACCCTCTGCTAGTCCAGGCTGGAAGATGGTGACAAAAAATTTAAGGGTATTGATTCTGTACATGGTGCATTTTCACTTCTAAAGCTGCCAGTGATTTCAATACTTGTGTTCATCATTACTGGAAAAGGGGAAAGAAAGTAACTACCAACACCTATTTTCAGTTTGGCAGCCAACCCCTAGAACTGTGTGGGAACATGGTCCATGGACCCCAGTGACCAGTGACAGGATGAGGAAACAGATTCAGGTCACACCAGGGAAGGCTGAGATTGGATATTAGCGACAATTTCTTCATGGAAAGGGTTGGCCAGCCCTGGCAGGGATTTAACAGCCATGTGGATGTGGCACCTGGGGACATGGGGCAGTGGTGGCCATGGCAATGCTGGGAGAACAGCTGGACTCAGTCTCAGAAGACTTTCCCAACTTTGCTGATCCTGTGGTTACACCTCAGGAACACTCCAGCAACATCAGCACGACAACCATAACCCAGATGTGAAACACCTGGTGTTGTGCTGTCACAGAATCACATTCTGTGACACTTCCTGGATGAAATAACAGCCATGCTGTGGCATCTGGAGATTTCGTGCATGAACAGCCAAGGGCAAACAGTAACTAAAGCCACAAGAACTTCCTGCTCAAGGAGGAAGCCTCAGGGCTACTCCAATGTAATTCAAGTGCCAGAATGTCCACTGCCTAGCCAAGAAATATCCAGTAGATTAATTTAATTTCTGCTTGGGTGTTATGATTTTTCCCCCTTTTCAGTTCCTTCTAGAGCAGAAAAAGGGGTTTTTTTGAGAGTTAGCAACACCAAAGCAGACAGAATATACTGTGATAATCATAATTCTATGATTCTATACTTCTAATAATGTACCCTGCTACACAACTGGCAATTTAAAAATGTTTCAACAACTGAAAGCTGTCCTAGCCTACAACAGGAATGATTTAGTCATCTTATTTGCATTAAAAGAAAATAATTAAAAGAAAATATTTTATTTTATTTCTTTTTATTTGCATAAAAAGAAATAAAATAAAATAAAATAAAATAAAATAAAATAAAATATCAGGCTTGCTGATCAATAGACACTTACTGGTTTCTGTCTGAAAATCCCGAAAGCCATCGAATATTGAGCGAGCAGGTCTGCGTCTTTTAGGAGCTTTAAAAAAAGTAAAGAATTATTTGAAAAGTATATTATCAAAATAAATGCCTATTAGTACTTTACACTTTACATGTGTAGGAGAACAGAATAGGAACCCCAAGCAGGGACTGTGTGGGAGTAGAGGTCATTGGGAAGGGTTGGAGATGGATGGAAGTAGGCAGAAGACAATTTGTAAATTCCATTTCCTAGCACATCCTCCCTCCAGCAAACCTTAGCCCAGAAACAAAACATGAATCAAAATACAGAGAGGCTTAAAGCCCCTTCTGATGGGCTTGCCAAGACCCTTCAGCATGGAGTGGCAGTGCTGTCACAGCATCATCTTGTCACAATTCCAGCCAAGATTTTACCCAAGGCCTTCAAGGGGATGAAAAATTTCAAAAGAATAAACTCCATGAGATTTTATTTTTTTTAATGAAGAAACATATTGTTTTTTCTACAGTGCATTTCTACTCTTTTCTAAACTCTTATCCTGATCCTGTCCCAGCTTCTTGGCTGGACTGACCAGCCACACTCTTCCAGTAGATCCAGCATTGCTGTTTGCAAGGAAACCTTCAGAACTGATTATCTGCAGAGAGCCCAGGAAGGGATCAGAAACAGCATCCTCAAGTCCCACTTAAATCCTAAGGTAAAGCACAAGCACTGCACTTGGAAGGAAAACAGAACTGCCTGTCAAGATTATTGCAGCCACTTATCTCCTTTCCCATCAACTGAAAGACAGAACTTCCAAAGCCCAATTGCTACAAGACATAATAAATAAAAAACAAATTAAAGTAAGATAAACAGAACCTATACCCAGTGGAAATGTGATGATACAGCCAATCATGGAAAAAGAAAGCAAGCCTGAAGAAGGGATGTGCAGGGAATAACACCTCTCAACTCCAGGGAGTAAGGTCTCCCTCACTCTGAGTGTTTAGGCACAAGCCAACCTCAGAACAATTTAAACTCAGCTGGAACAGGAGCTGAAGGAGCACTGGAGCAAAAGCAGCACGTCCCTGCCAGCAGCACAGGTGAAGAGGCTCTCAGCAACCCAGGAGGATCCTTTGTACTCAATGATGGGATCCATGCACCCACCAGGGCACAAACACACAGGGTCACCTCTTCAGCTGGAAAAAACCTGAGCTTATACAACCATTCAGTATGACCCTTCAAAACAGAAACTGCCACCTCCCCTGCTGTAAGGCTACAGCAGAGACCAATTATCTCTCCAGGTTCAGCTCCTCTGCCAGGCTGCTCTGTGCCAGGAACACAAGTGGCACTGCTGGATCGCAGAGTGCCAGGAGGGAATCACTGACCCAGGACAGTGACAGTGTCACTGAGATCACTGTGGAACAGGTAGGCATGAGAACACTAAGTGCTAGGATCAGCAGATCTGAATCCTAATAACCCACAGGAGTGAACAGATCTTTGTCAAAAACACTGTTGGGCCACAGGAGAAAGTGCAGAGAGCTCCTCTATCTTCAGAGAGGCATCAGCAAGGCATCTTCCTCTGGATGCACATTTCCTGCTGCAGGACTGCCCTCCTCTGCTACTAAACTCCCCACTTCCAAAATCCAGGTAGGATGGGAAGTGCAAGGATTAGATAAACACAGTGTGTCCTTGTTTTCATGTCATTGCATCTTACGGTTGAGACCTTCAAAGTCCAGCTTCACTGCTGCTGACAAGGTGGCCTTTCAGCAGCAAGGGGAATGTCATGAAATTACATCAGTGAAGCTCACAGAAGTGCAAAAACACTTCAATGAAAGCAGATACTTTGTACATCATTCCCTTTTTGCCCAAGTGCAAATTAAGTTTTTCAAATTGTTGTTACTTTATGCATCTCACATCAGGAAGTAGAAGTTTAGTCCATTTCAGTGATTCATATTCTGTCTAAAGAATAAACATTTTCTGATGGGACTGGGGACTGAAACATATTAAAGGAGTCAAAATTGTCCAGCTCCCAAAACAGACAGGAAAAAAATTGCTAGAAGGACTAAAACTAGAAAAGCTAATATTGCTATCAGTGCAAGTACAGCAAAAGGGAAGTGGTGTGCACCTGTACTGCCCGGCATTGTGTGCTCCCTCTGAACCACCCTCAGCTTGTGCATCCTGGCTAAACAGCTCTCTGATGTTGAAAAAGAGTCAAGAAAAAAATCAGTTCCAGGGTACACCTGAAGCTTGGCCTCCTTCCCCTTTCTACTAAATGATAGGAAAGAGCATTTCCCATGGTGTGAGACCACTGCAGTGACAAGCACTTGCACAGCCTTCCTGGTGAAAAGGGCAAAGCTCTCAATCCATCTGACATGGCAAAGGCCAGCCCAGAAATGCCCTGCTCCACATGAGAAGGACAGAGACAAGAAAAGTTGTGCACAGCACAGCTTAAAGAGCAAATTAAATTCCTGCATGAGAAATGGAGAAGGGGATGAGCAATCAGAGTTCAGCCCTTCTTTCTGATCTGTCATCTCAACAATTTGTCCTCTTCATTTTCACCTGTCAGCCAAGGCTCCATCTTCCATCCCATTTCCACAGCAGTACCCCACAGTTCTGGGCCCCCAGATGTACACTTAATTAAGTTAATTGGCTGCCACCTCACAAAGTCTCATGAAGCAAGATTTAGCAAATTAGTACCTCTGGGAATTAAGCATCTCTTGTGTGTGAGATTTTTAATACCACTGGTGTTATTTCTCCTTATTAAACAAGTTTTGATTTTTTTAGTCACTTAGCTCACCTCAAGTTAAAGAAAACAGAAACAAAATAAGAACACAAGCCTACCTCCAAACAAGGGCTCAGGCTCTACTAAGATTTCCTGCTTTTGAGGAATTGGAGCTCGTACTTCATCCCTACCAAAGAAGAAGAAACAAAAAAGAAAATATCAGAGGGATGATAATATTCCAAGTACTGTACAAACCACATCTCATTATGCTCCAAGGCTCCTCCAACTCAAACCAGTTAGAGATGCTGCTGTACCACTGCACAGAATGAAGAGGTTTGGGATTAAGTGGGTTCTCAAGGGAGCATCTGTTCCCACTCATGGCACTGGTGCTGGACCTGGTACCCTGTGCACTGAGAGCTGGCAAGGATAACTTTTGATAAAACATTACACAAACCCCTGAGTGATGTGATCCCAGGCTTGGTCAATCTATATTTAAACATTTTTTGTTCTTGAATAACTTTGTTAGAACTTGGAAGTGTTTAAAACCTTACCAAAAGATGTTAAATAATCCACTTGCCATCCTACTTTCCTTGCTAGCTACATAGAAAAAAATATTATCTTCCTGATTACCAGCTTTTGTCTGTCAGAAGACTTTTTGCTTCCACCTGAAAGTCACACCTCTCTTTTCCAGAAGGAGGAAAACCAGGTCAAGATGGCCATTTCCCGCATTTCTGAAGCAGTTCTTGGCTTACATAACTGAGCTCCCTCACATGTCAACAGCCCAGTCAGTTATACTTGCAGACACTCACAGGTAATCCAAAACAACAATTAGGAGAAGAGAGGAAATCACCAAGAAATCACTGTGACAACAGTGTGGTCACCTGGCCCATGGATTTTTGTGCAGAAGGATTCATCCATTGCTACATCCTGTCAGTGAGCTCCCTCTTCCCCCAGACTTCCAAGGTGTGAAGAGTGCACTCTGCAGCTCTTGGCCATGCAGCTTTCAAAAGGTAATTCAGGATTGTCAGCAGCATACACCTTGCTCTTACCCTCCACATCTTTGATGCTCTGGGCAGCTAGTTACTCTCCACTTGCACATTTACTGTTCTCTCCTCCTAGGAGGAACACTGAGCTGATCAGCACCTGGAGAGTGTTGAGTATAAAAAAGAAAGCATTCCAAGAAAAATCTGGAGCCACTGATGTGCCAGAAGTTGTCTAGAAATAAGAACACTAACCTATATACCTATTTTAACTTTGTTAAAGGCTCAAGTAGGAAGGCACCTCACATCAGCTATAAAGCACTAAAAGAATTATTTAAATTTAAATTTATACATGTGCTTCAGAAGTATGAGAGGCAAGGATTTTCCTTTATAAGTCAGCTGTCTTTTTCCTGGAGTGGAAGATTTTCATAAGTACAAAAGCCTGGTTTACATGTAATTTACCATATTTAATGAATGTGATTTATACCACTCAAGACAGTCCCTTTATCTCAGGCAGTCACATTAATGGGCAGCACTGAGATTCTCTGATATGCTTAAGTGGAAATTCTCTTCCTTTTGCAGGCATCTGATGTGTCAGAGACTGGTGAAGGTGCTGAAGGTGCTGATTCCTCTGCATACTGGTGTACAGGCCTGGCTTTCCAGTGCCAAACTGGTTAAACCCCCACTATAAAACCCTCACAAGTCAGGCTCTTCTCCCAGGTAAGGAGAGACAGGATGAGACAAAACAGCCTCAAGTTGTGCCAGGGGAGGTTTATGTCAGATATTATGGCAAATTTCTTCACAGAAAGGGTTGTAAAGTACTGCACAGGCTGCCCAGGCCAGTGGTGGAGTCACAATAAACATATGGATGTGGCACCTGGGGACATGAATTAGTAGTGGTGGTGCTGGGTTGATGGCTGGACTTAATAATCTTTTCCAACCTTAAATTCTATGAATTTATGAAATGGGAGTCAAGTGGCTGCATTTATAAGAACCAAACCATGAGAATCTCTAACTGCCAAATTAGCGTAAAGCAAGATTGCTGAAGCATTTAAAAATGAGACTCTCTTATTACTGGATCCTTACTTTAACGACTTGGGCTTTGTTTGTAAAAAACAGCAGGTGAGAGCTACAGAAAACTTCTGAAGTGCAAGAGACTCACAAAGCAGAACACTGCAGCAATCAACTGACCAAGACCAAAGCAGTGTGCAATGCTGTGCTGAGGGGTGGCAGCTGCCTGGTTGGCCGTGCTTTTCACAGTGCCATCTCAGTGCCATCAGAGGGCCAGGCTGGCTGGCACAGCCGTGCCCAGGGTACGTACTCGGGGTGCGGGCGGGCAGCAGACACGGCTGCAGAGCTGGTGCTGGGCTCCTCTGCTATGCCCCCTCCATCCAGGAACATGGTGACAGCCATCTCCAGGTTGTTGTTGCAGGCTTCCAGCATGTGCTTCCCCACGCTTTCACTGGCACCTGCAATGCCAAAGGGAAAGAAATCACAACGTGGGGTTATTAATTGGTGTGGTGTGGTGAGGGCTTCCAGGATGAGGTGAGAGGTGAGAACTGACTTCAGGTTCTTAGAAGGCTGATATTATACTATATTATATTCCATTCCATTGTATTACATTATATTATATTGTGTTATATTATACTGTATTGTATTCCATTCCATTGTATTCCATTATGTTGTATTGTATTATATTATATTCCATTGTATTCCATTATATTATATTGTTATATTATACTGTATTGTACTCCATTGTATTGTATTCCATTATATGATATGATATGATATATGATATTATATTACATTACATTATATTACATTACACTACATTATACTGTATATATTATACTATATTATATTACATTATATTACATTACATTACATTATATTGTATTATACTGTATTATACTGTATTATACTATATTATACTATATTATATTATATTATATTATATTATATTATATTATATTATATTATATTATATTATATGGTACTATATTATACTATATTACATTACATTATATTATATTACATTATATTATATCATATCATATCCATTATTTTACCTTGTATTACATTATATTACATTGTATTACACTGTATTGTACTACATTATATTATATTACATTATATTACAAGAAAATGATCTATTAAAACTATACTAAAGAAAGAGAAAGGATACATCAGAAGGTTAGAAAAGAATGAATAATTAAAAACCCATGACTGACCAGAGTCCTGACACAGCTGGACTGGGATTGCTTATTAAGTAAAAACAATTTACATGGAACTAATTAAAGATGCACCTGTTGGTAAGCAACTTCTAAACCACATTGCAAGCAATCAGATAATTATTGTTTATATTTCTTTTCTGAGGCTTTTCAGCTTTTCAGAAGAAAACTCCTAGCTGAGGGATTTTTCATAAAATGTAGCAGTAACAACAGCATTTTGACTGGAAGTGCCCAGAACAGCTTTCTCTCTCAAAGCATTAATAATTAGGAGGAACAGTTCATCAGCTGCCATTTATCCCTGAAGCACAACTGTGAAACGTGCACAGCTCAGGGGGAAGGGGATGCTTGCAGTCAGGACTGCCAGGCTTCTTCCTGTCAGCAACTGAAAACCTACAGGAAACCATCTGAGGGCTTTGAGCACGATGGGGATTTTCTTCTACAGGTCAGACATTTTCAGACATGAGTCCAGAGGAGACCATGAAGGTGCTGTGAGGGCTGGAGCCGGGATGGGAGAGCTGGGGGTGCTCACCTGGAGAAGAGAAGGCTCCAGGGAGAGCTCAGAGCCCCTTCCAGTGCCTAAAGGGGCTCCAGGAGAGCTGGAGAGGGACTGGGGACAAAGGATGGAGGGACAGGACACAGGGGAATGGCTGCACACTGACAGAGGGCAGGGTTAGATGGGATACTGGGGAGAAATCCTTCCCTGTGAGAAGTAGAGGAACCCTCTAATTTTGTGGATTCCCACACTGGCACAGGGTGCCCAGAGAAGCTGTGGCTGCCCCTGAATCCCTGAAGTGCCCAAGGACAGACCTGGAGCACCCTCAAGGACAGACCTGGAGCACCCTGGGACAGTGGAAGATGTCCCTGACCATCACAGCAGGTAGAACAAGATGAGTTTTAAGGTCCTTTCCACGCCAAACAATTCCATGATTCTGTGGATTTTCCAACACAAGCAGGCATACACAAAGAAAAATGAAACCCTGGCTGCCCCTGGATCCCTGGAAATGTCCAAGGCCAGACCTGGAGCACCCTGGGACAGTGGAGGTGTCCCTGACCATCACAGCAGGTAGAACAAGGTGAGTTTTAAGGTCCCTCCCATGTCAATCCATTCCAAGATTCTATGAATTTTCCAAGCAGGCATACAGAAAGAAAAATGAAAACCTGACTTAACATTTTAACAGGAAGAATATTAAATCAGCTGCTAAAATTTTTTTATCCACTTGTAACAGACATTTAGAGAGGGAAGAAAAGACACTCTGATTTACTGATTCTGCTGAAAGGCAAAATCAAACCAGCAGAAGTTCAGTTTATATAAGAAGGGAGGAAAAAAGCAGCCAAGAGGGAGAAAGTAACACTTTTCTACAGGGTTCTTTGTATAATGACTAACATTTATTCAAATCACAGAATCATGGAATGGTTTGGGGTGGAAAGGAGCTTAAAGCTCATCCTGTTCTACACCCTGCCATGGGCAGGAACACCTTCCACTACTCCAGGTTGCTTCAGGCCCTGTCCAGACTGGCTTTGAACACCTAAAGTGCAACTAATCCCAGTTTTATAACATGCTCAGGATGAAGCAAAAGTTCCTAACATCACCTGTAAATGCTTCCTCAGAGGATGAGCCTCTGTGTCCCAACTTCTCCCCAAAAACCATCCCCTCAGCAGAAGCTCCCTCAGGAGAAGCTCTCCTACATCCCAATTCTTTACAGCACCTTCTCCCTAGGTGGTGGACTGCCAAAAAGCTTATTTTCCTTTGGAAAGGCTGGTAGAGAGGAAGAGTGCTAAAATGCAGCTCAACCAGTCTGGGAGCAGCTTTGGGATCTGTAGGAATTGTTCCTAAGTTCACAGCAAGTCACCAAAATGACAACAACACTTTGCCCAAAAACAGGCTCACAGACAATGTCAGTCTGGGCAAAACACATTCAGATATTTCTCAGATTTTCTGGGAAAGACTCAAGAAGCTCTGGTTTGAGCACAGAATACACCCTGAAACCGTGGAGCTCAATCAGTTCTAAATAACCTGCACATCAAACCACGGAGAAAGCCAAACTGACTGAGGGAACAGGTTTCCCAAAACACCCAACCTGCCACAACAAGCACACTGGGATGACAGGCAGCTGTGTTTTTAAGACCTTAACTGAGCTGAAAAAAGCACAAAATAAAAACTAGTGATACCCCAAAAAACCAATGAGAAGTTCAGGTTTTTCACTCAAACGATTTTTTGGCATTTTCAGCACTTTTCAATGTTAACTGTAGCAATGAAACCACACCTGTGGGCCTGGAACACACAGACCCCACTCTGCACCTCCCTGCAGAGTCATGCAAAGATTCATTTGCAAGAACTGGAAGAAAAATGATAATTCAACCCTCTGCTATTATTTCCAGAGACACTGACACAGCAAGTGCCTTCACTGATTCCTCATCATCATTCCTGAGGGAAGTGCCAGCATATCAAAGCTTTCAGTCATTTCAGAAACAGAAAATTCTACATATTGGTTAAGTTTCAAAGCAAATTTCACAGATATCCCATAATTTCCTTGAAGAAGACTGATGCTTTGAGAGGCTACCTAGAACAGAGGCTGGGCAGAGTTAAAGGAATAAAGTAGGGATTTATTTAAAGGCTTTCAAAGGATACACCTTGGGCAGTGCAAGAGCCTGGCGGTGGGTACACCCAAGATGGATCCAGGGTCACAAGTTTTCACACTTTTATAAGTTTTGGTCCATTTCCCTATTGGGGTTAATTGTCCAATTACAGCCTCAGGTAATGCAGTCCCACCCTCTCAGCCTGCTCTCCTCAATTCACTGCTGTTTGTACTTTTGGGGCCTGAAGCTGCAATGGTGTCCTTGGTTCTGGGGCTGGAAAAGGATTATTTTGTCTGACTAAACTGTGAGGAGAACTTGCTAACACTTTACATGAAGTTCAGAGTTATATACTAATACAGAACAGAATCTGGAAAATGTGAAAACTGAAACTTGAGGCAGCAAGACACACAGGAGTTACATTCTGTTAGCAGTACTCTCCTGGATGAGAGCACCAAAGAAACACAATTCTGCCACCAGGATCAAAGAAAAGCATGAGGGACTATTCCTCCTCATCCCTGATGCTGGAGATGATTCCCTCAGCCTTTTTCCCCATAGACAGGAGTGACTGGAAACACAAGTCCGAGTTGAAAAAGCTACTAACACAAAGCCCTGAGGTGTGAGCACCTGTCACACCACAGACAGCTCCACACACTCCTAGATGCAACCTTAAATTCTGTTAAAGGTAAACACAAAACTTCAAAACTTCACTTAATAGTGGATGGCTGAAGCCCAGCAGGCTATTTCTTTTTTGGTTTTGGAAGCATAGAGGGGCTCTCTTATGTTGAGAATAAAATATGTGTCTAAACATAAAAGGTGTCAGGAGGAGGAAAGCAGCACAGCTCTGCCTGTTCTGGGTCAGGTTTTTAGCAAATATCTCACACACAGGCACATACTACCGAAAATATAATTGCTGGAGGTTCTTTTTGTTCAAAGGGTTTACTCTATAAAGATTCTTTAGGAATAGCTGAGAGATCTGTAATTTCCCTGCTTACATCCTGTCGAGGACTTGAGTGTGTCCAAGTACAGGGACACAATCTGAAACGGAGCTGGTGTGGACAACGGAATTAGAGCAGTTTCATTTCCCTTTGGCTGTTTAGTTGACACATCTTATTAACCCCTCTCGCAGCATCTGACACGCACAGCCATCAGCCAGGGGTAACCACGGCGAAGCAGCTTAAACACAAAGTGGGTCAGGAGCTCCGAGTACACAGCGTGAAGCAGGAGCTGTCACCTGACGCGAACTTCCACGGAAAAGCCACCAGCTCTCCCCGTTCCCAACTCGAGCCGCCCGCGCTGTGGGATATTTCTGCTTTTTCACAGGCGGGCTCGGGGCTCCGCTCCCGGGTCAGAGTCACCGGCGGGAGCGGGAAGCGGCAGCCGGGGCGGAGCGCGGCCGGGAGGGATGGAGGGAAGGGGCAGGAGGGAGCAGGACACGCACCCGCGCCACCGGGACAACCGAGGAGCTTCCGAGCCACCGCTCAAAGGGAAGCGAGATCTCCGCCGCGCAGGGAGCGGGGCCGGGCCCGGGGCGCGCCCCGGCACCGCCGGCGCCCCGAGGGAGGCGCTCTGAGGGCAGGGGCAGCGCGGAACCGCTCCGCCTCGGCCCGCGCCTCCCGCCCCCGGCCCGCTGGCGGTGAGGGCCGGGCGGGACCCTCCCGCGTGAGCCCCGCGGCCTCGGCGCGCCCCGCGCCCCGAACTCACCGGTGATGGCGGTGAACTGCTGGACCAGCGCCCTCAGCGCCGCGGCGCCCGCCGAGCCCCCGGGCGCCGCCATCTTGCCGCCGCCGCACCACAACACACGCGCCGCCGGCCGGCGCGCGCTGCGCATGCGCGGGGCCCGCCCGCGCGCGCGCCCCTTCCCCCGCCCGCCGCCGACCGAGGGGCGGGAGGGGGGGGCTCGGTTGCCGTGGTAACAAGCCACGCCCCTCCGGCCGCGCGGGAGGCGGGAGTTGCCGTGGCAACACCCTCCTTTCCCCCCCACACCCCCCCGCCGCCTCAGCGGCTTTCCCCGGGAATGCCCCCGGAATTCCCGACCCGCCGCTTCCAACGGGGCGCACGGGCCTGAGAGGCGGAGCGGCACTCCCAGGACACGCACCCGGGTTCCCACACGGATTTACCCCATCACAGGGGCCCATGGCGCAGCGAGGGGCTGGGCAGGCCGCGGGCCGGGTGCTGTGAGCAGAGGGAAACCCAGGAACAGCCCGGATCACCGGCACAGGCCGGGGGTGACCCGCTGGACAGCAGCGCTGCGGCGAAGGACATGGGGGTTCCAATAAGCAACCAGCTGTCCCCGAGGCGGCAGAGTGTCCTGGGGACCTGGGGACACTGGGACGAGCACTGGCAGCAGGTCAGGGACTGATCCTGTCCCTCTGTGCAGCCCTGGCAGTGCCGTGTCCAGCTCTGGGCGCCTCAGCAGATGAGACACATGGAGATGCTGGAGCAGGTCTAGGGGAGGCTGCGGAGATGCTGAAGGGCCTGGAGCATGTGGGTGCCCAGGAAAGGCTGAGGGAGCCGGGGCTGCCCAGCCTGGAGAGGAGCCCCAGCTGAGAGGGACCCTCAGCCCTGGCTGGCCCCGGCTGCAGGGAGGGGCAGAGCAGGGCCGGGCTCTGCTCCAGGCCCAGCAATGGCACCGGAGCCACGGGCAGGGACTGAGCCCAGGCAGCTCCACCTGCACATGAGGAAGAACTTTCCTGGGCAGCGCCTGAGCCCTGAGCAGAGCCCAGAGAGGCTGTGGAGTCTCCTCACTGGGGATATCCCAGAGCTGTCTGGACACAGTGTGTGCCGTGGGCTCTGGGATGGCCCTGCTGGAACAGATGGACACACTGTGGTCCCTTCCAGCCTCACCCATCCTGGGATTTTGTGGGGCAGCACCTGAGGTGGTCAAGGAACAGCTCATCTGCACCCACAGGGCAACCCTGCCATCGCTGTCACAAAGCCAGAGTAGGAAACCCTTGAATTTGTCCCCACCTACTGTACCAGGTGTTTCTGATCCCCACGCCACCCAAAGGAAAGTCAGGAATGTTTTACTCCTTTCCAGTTTCCAGACACAGCAGGAATGTGGCTGCTGAACACCTTGCCAGTAACAACTTGTCAACTCTAAGTACCACAAAAAGCTGAGATTTCCCTAGAATTCTAATAATTTATTACCTCACTGCCATGGAAACCAGTCCATCTGCTCCCCCTCTCATTGCCTCCCATCCCCACAGCAGCTCTGGTGCTCAGAGAAGCAACCAAGCCTGCAAAGTATTTGGGGTTTTGGCACTTGGTTTGCTTTTCCTGGCAGTCGGATGAGCTGAACTTGTTCACAAACAAGACAAATTAATCACCAGGGCTGAAGGCAGGTGAGCAGCAGTGAACTGTTACACCAGCCCAGCCATCTCAAATAAAGACTTCTGCTTCACCAGTAAAACAAAGCTGATCTCACCTCCTTCAAAGCTCCCAGACCACAGGGTCACAAACAAGCTGTTAGTACAACCAAAATCCACTCAGCCAAATTCCACCCTCTAGCAATTAAGATCTAAAAGAATAAGCCAAATTATGCCTGGTGAGCATTATTGTGCCATGGATATGGTGAGGGATGGGATCATTTGGGGGCTTGCAGCATCCCACCTCAGATAATGCTGCTGCTATAGGTGACAGGTTTTGAACATTTTGCAGTTAAGATTTGTTTTATCTAACAATCAATCTTTCAATTTTTAGTTCTGTTTTGTTTTGCATTCAGCTTTGAAAATGGGGATTGTTTTTTTTTACAGGCTTACCCTGACTGGACAGGCTGAGAGACACCAGCATGGAAACAGTCAGTAGCCCTGCCTTAAAAAAAACCCCTTTAATTAATTTTTTTTTTTTGAAATCATGGGTAAATCAGAAAATAATCCCAACTGTGTTAAGGATTAAGGAGAAACAGACCCATATTGAAGGAAAGCTTCCAGAACAATGGCTGAGGCAGCAGGAGAAAAAGCAAATTATTTGCCACTGGTCAACTGTTGTAATTTTCTCCAAAAACGTCTCTGAACAGAACAAATATTTATTTATTTATGAGGAGCCCACCAATGATAAGAGATGTGCAGGCTTTGAGGAAAAAAAAAATCCCAACAATCGTATTTTTAGCTCAGTGTGCTGGTCATGCTTTTCATAAAATTTGGTCGTTTAAACTTAAACCGTCAGAAGATGCTGCTGAAGAAACAAGTCTGTCATAAATGTCCTAGAACAGAATTAAAGTCATCAATGGGGTTCAAAAAAAGGACAGAACTCAAACATCTGCTGACTTTGATAATTAACACAAACCCTTCAGCACTGCAGCTGGCACTTGGCTCCATTTCAAACACAGACAGTGCAAAAGTAGCTCCAAAAAAGCAAAGAAAAGCCAAATTATGGCTTCATAAAACAGATGAAACAAGAAAACTTCCTCTGCATAGTAGGATCTGGTTGCCTCTTCCCCAGCTTCAACTTCCTACAGGCCTCAGCACCTCCATGTTTAAATGACAAAATTTTTTGAGTTACTTTAGTTTTAAACCCAACAGAAACAGTATTTAGTAGTGCCTCTAAAAATGGAGGGGAACAGTTACAGCCAGGCAGGGCAGTTATATGAATTTCTAATTAAGTTTTGTCATTACTGACAACTCCAATCTTCAGTTGCTTCTTTCCCTTTTAACTTTCTCCATCATAACTGGCTTTGGAATATTGTTTTAATCACACTCAAACCAGTTTGAGTATGAAAATCAAACTGCATAAAGTATAGTAACACCATCGTACATTCATATGTATCATTAACAGGACATTAACAACAAGAAAACAAAAGTATCTTGTTCTTAACAGGGAAAATGGGATCTGCAGGAGGGATCTCTGTGAGCAGAGGTGAATGGGAGCCCACAGCCTTGGCATCCATGGAAGATCCTTGGCTTTGGCAGGGGAGAATGACCTGTTTGTTTCCTCTTTGTTGAAGGGAGGGTTAGCATTGAGAGGGAAAGAGTGGCTGTCTGCTTACACTCCTGTTAACGGGTGTGCCAACAATGCTACAGCAAGGTGCTTCAATGTACAGAACAGTGCCTTGTGCTGAGGGAAGCTTCAATCTTGCAGTTCACAGCCAGCTGGGAATACCAACTCGTTTTTCATTTGTTTCCTCCATGGAATGTGCATTTTTTCCATCAAAGCCTTTGGACTCTCATTTCCAGATCAGACCATCACTTACCATTGCTTTCCAACACTACCAGTATTCACACTCCAAACCATGTAAAATGCAAGTTAGAAAATAAGAAATACTTCCATTCCTGCAAGAAGTGCTGCAAGTGCTAGAAAACAATAATTCAAGAAAGGAACAATTAAAAAATGTTACATTCTGGCGGTGTATGTAGCTAAAACTTCTCAGAACTCACAGAACTGCTGCCCAAAGTGGTTCCCCTCCAAGGCAACCACTCAAAACTGCATAGGGAAGCTTTGCCAGCACAGGAGAACATCACCACAGTTTCCATTCCCACTCCACCACGTGTCCATGGCTCTGATCTACTCTGCAACAGGGCTTTTAAACATCTGCAGGATTGTCTTTTGCTTGTTCTTAGGCAGTGAACAAATATCATTAGTGTCACTGGTATTAACCACACAATTCAAAACCTTTCCTTCCTTGATGCTGGGGGATTTCACCCGGACCCTGGCAGGGGACTGCCAGTTTTCATTGCAGGAACCTTTCCTAGACTTGTGGTGATTGGTTTCAGCCTGGCTTTTTGATCCCTTTGAGTCTTTTGCCCCCTTGGAGCTTCCCTTCCTGGCAGCAGAGTCTTTCCCAGAGCGAGGTGGTTTGGTACGAAGCAGATACTCGTCCGGAGAGCCCTTCTGCCTGTTCAGTGTCCTCTCCTCCTTGTCCAGCTCCTTCTGCAGCTGCAGGGCCAAGAGCCTGTCCTGCTCCTCCTGCCTGCGCCTCTCATAGAACTCCTGCTCAAAGGCTCTTTGTGTCTGCAAGTTAAAATCACTCATCTGCTCTCCTTGGTCTTCTGCACTTTCTGAAAAGGTTCTTCTCCTCTTATCAAGCACGTCCAAGTCAATCATGGCATCAGCTGGGGCTTCCACTAGCTTCCTTTTGGGGGTCTCCTTAGAGTTCTGTGGCCTTTCTGGTGTCTCTTCATTTGAGTGTCCAGCCTCCTTCCCCAGACCAGGCAACATGGTCTGGCTGTCAGACATCACACAATTCATTCCCAACTGACCAGAGGTACAAGTTTCATCAGCCTTTTCAAGGTTTACCCTTTGTTCATGTGTCAAATTGCCACTGTCTGACTCAATTCCATCATCACCTCCATTGGATCTAAGAACTGTCCTAGACCCTTCCCCTTCTGTGGTTCCATGAAGTGCATCTGGAACTCCATCTTCTAAACCATTTGGTCCTGGCGCTTCTTCCTGCTTTGTGGCAGTTTCACCTGAAGCTGAGGCACTGAAATAGTTCATGCACGATTCCAGAAATGAATCCTTAGCTGCAGAATCTTTATTCACACTGGTCAGCTGTGGAGACAGGGTTGGCATTTCCTCTTGCTCATCCTGCACTGCAGAACTGCTGCCTTCATTGCTGTTGGTCTCCTGAAGAAAATGAAGTAAATGAAGTAAATTTATCAAAAGCCCAAACACTTCTCATGGCTGCATTGCCTGAGTGCTCTGGGACAGCAACTCAGATACTTCTCTTTTTAAAAAATACCTAACTGTTCAATAATAATAAAAATATTTGAAATAATTAATAATAATGCAGAATCCCAGCTAAAAGACTGAAACCTCTATAGCATTTTCCTTTTATCA